TTCGAAAATTTATCCTGAGCAAAAAACAGCACTTGTCTTGAGCATAAGTGAAACAGCGCCCCGAATTATTGCCAATCATATGAGTCGCATCGATTTTAAACTACTTTTGGACGGCACGGCCAAGACTGAAAACAATGAAGCGAGCATTTTCAACTGTAGCGGCATCGAATTGATCACCTTGAGCCATGGAGAACAATTTAGAAAAGACTTAATCGAACGCACTGAATGTATTCGACTATTAGTGGCTGTCACCGTTTTAACATGCTCTGATGACTCGGAACGAGCTGAAACGATCAATAAATGGATTCAAATTGCAATTGATACGAAAACAGCACTGGGTAATCTCTATGGGTTCAGCAGAATCATGCTGGGATTGTGCAAGAATATTGAATGAAATACTTTTCGTGTTAAAATATTTTCAACACTGAAATGATGAAATTCTTGTCTATTTTCTCTTTCAGAACCGAATTCCATATGAAATTCTTATGGGGCAGCAAAGATCACAAGTACTAGCTGTTGAACGGCACACGAAACTCGAACAAATATTGTCGCTGATGGTAGAGAAATTTTGTGGTGGATCAAATTTAACTTTTAATGGATGTCAATCTGGGTAGAACAACGCACAAATTCAGTAATTTCATACGGACAATAAAGTGATAAAACCCAAAACAAACACTCCAAATGAAATTTGAATATCAAACTCACCCTGTCTATGTGCAAAAATCAATATAAACTATGAATACAGGCTCTACATGTTATGTGTGGCTAAAAATTAAAATAAAAGATGTGAAATCCGAAGGTAAAATTTAAAGCACAGACACCATTCGTTTGGTGAAACAAAATACATTCTATTGACAATGGAAGAAGACAAAAAAAAAAGAACGAATCGAAACTAGTCAGAATGTCCTTAAAATACCATATGTATAAGACAAAAACGTGTATTGATTTTGAAAAAAAATCCAATTTATTTATTATTTGATGTTTATTTTTCTTTATTTGATATCGTTCAATTTCTTTTATCTCTATTTGTTTCCCGATTTTTGTGATACTAATAATTTTAAGAAGAGTTGTTGTTATGTTAAATTATATTGAAAGAAAAAAAAATCAAGCAAAAAAATGGTTTTGGAATAAGTTATGCATTCATAGACACGGGTGTCAATGAACTAGCTAAAAAACCATTTATAAACACATTGACTGACATAGATTTCAAAAGCAAATCATCATCGGAATTATCGAATAACGAACTAAAATTAAAGTGAAAAAAAATAGTCTAATTGTTGCGATGGATCAGGCATCACATTTTTTTTTGTATCAATTCGAAGTAGAAATTTCATATTATACGGATCAATTGTTTCATAAATTATGAGAAATGATTTCGGTTTCGGCAAACAGACAATTTTGCATCTTTTCACTTAAACATTATCAAAATTCGGTGAAAACTGCCGTAATTTCGAGGGGTCATTTTTTGACGTCATTTTTTAAGCAAAATATTTAGAGTAGAAATTTTTAGGGATTTGTACAAAATACGAAGAAAAAACAAAACATAGCACAAAATTAACAGCGAACTATTGCGTATTTGCATGAGATAACACACCGTAGTTATAAACCGACATGAAATTTAATTAAAAGTAGCATTTGGAATTCCTTATTCACATTCCTAGCTGTTTTGGCCGAATCAATGCATTTTCATTCCCCTTCTAGCACATTTTGAAGTACATTCCAACCGAGCATTTGTTTACGTACAGAATATTTCTTCCAAACTCCGAACGCAACACGATGTAGCTTCTGATGCAACAATTCTTTTTCAAACGCAAGCAAAAAAAAATAACAAAATTTTCCTACACGAAAAAATTGTTTTTAAAAGAAAGAGGAAAGAACACCGATTTGCTAACGCAAACAGAATTTGTAATCCAAATAATATTTATTGAGATGTAATTTTAGTCTTAAGTACTATGATCCAAATTCGAGGAATATCCACACAATAAATCTTATTCGATACATTTGATGGAAAACTGCAACTTATTCGAAATGACATATGCATATTTATAATCAAATTTACAAATTAGTCACGAAAATAATAAAGTTTAAATTCATAAATGAGATGGTTGTGTTTATTTTTTCTTATTTTGATCGTTTAAGTTGAATAGGCTTGAACTTTGAGATATTATTATTATTATTTATTTAGAATTGAATTGAAAATCTTGTCCGCTATCCGTCCATTTGACACTTTTAGATGTAGACAGTTTTTATTGTTTCTCGGATATCGAAAAACAGGAAACTAGTTTAATAATTAATGAAGATGTTTCTTATTTGATACAATTTGAATGAATAAGACTAAATGATTTCGGGCTTAATAATTATTCACAGCCATAATTTTGCTTATGATTTTTTGAAGAAAGTGTGTGTTGCTTTGTATCATTTGGTACTTCTACTCGTAGATGCTAGCAAAATCAATGGGATGTTGAATCCTCTAGTTGGGAGCAAGGGGAACTTGTTGAGCTGGAAGTAGACAGCCCACTGACCGACGAACAAGAAACGGATTCAGAGGAGGTACCCTCTACAGGAGAATCAAGTTTTGGAGTCTGTGGTGTTGAGACCAATCCATAGAAAGTCTGTGGCGAATTCGATTCCGAAAAACCATGG